TGTCACGGATGCGCTTACATCTCTCGGTTACGATTCTTCAATCTGTAAATCAAAATGGGACAAATCTCCTTCATATCCTGCAGGTACTCACTCTTCTAAGAACAAAACCAAACAATGAAACAAAAAAAAAAAAAAAAAAAAAAAAAAAAAAAAAAAAAAAAAAAAACTCCAGTAGATTCGAATTAAACTGAATATTCTTGGTGTAGGGGAATATGAATACATCGATGTGATGGTGGAGGGCGAGAGATTGGTGATAGACATAGATTTCAGATCGGAGTTTGAGATCGCTCGTTCGACTGGTGTGTACAAGGCGATCCTCCAAGTACTTCCGACTATCTTCGTCGGCAAAACGGATCGTCTAGGTCAAATCGTTTCGATCGTATCGGAGGCGGCGAGACAGAGCTTGAAAAAGAAGGGGATGCACTTTCCGCCATGGAGGAAAGCCGAATACATGAGATCCAAATGGCTTTCCTCTCACATCAGACCCAAACCTCCAAATCCATCGCAAAACGAGAACGAAATCACGGACGAGGACCGAAGCGACAGCAGCGAGCAGTCCTCGATAGAGACGGATTGCGGAGAATTCGAAATGATTTTCGACGAGGAAACGACGACGACGACATCACCTGAGAGTGATTCGATGAAATCATCGCCTCCGCCGCAGAAATGTTTTAATGGCGGTGAGAAGGCGGCTGTGGCAGTGACGCCCTGGCAACCTCCGGCGATCAAACCGAAGAGTCTCGATAAAGGAGCGAAGATCGTTACTGGATTGACATCGATCCTCGAAGAGAATCCGTAGAAATTTTGTTTATTATTTTTGTATTGAAAATCTAAAATATCATAAACAAAAGAAAAAAAAAAGAAAATAATAATAATAATAATAATAATAATTAAGTGGGTAAATATTAAATATCAGGATATATATATATATGTCCTTTTGTTTAGTGGAGGAAAAAAAAAAAAGGAAAATCCTTCCGTTTTTGGTTGCAAATTTGGATTGCGTCTTTGTAATTTTTTCTTTTTTGAAAAAAATATATATATTATTGAATTTTGCAATACTAATAAGAGTTTTTTTTTTTTACTTTTTTTTTTATTTTTAAAGATGAAGAATAATTTATTAAATAAAATACAAAGTTGGTTATGATTCGACCAAAGTTTAGGCTTTTGTTACACTTGTGGAAACGTCTTGATCATGGCTTGTAGCACGCGTTTTTTTGGTGTGTTTCGTTATCTACGTGCTTTTGGCATTAGCCTATGTGAGCTCTCCATTCGATCCGTTTTTTTTAAATTAAAAGAATAATTTATTAAATAAAAATACAAAATTTGTTAATATTTTTATTAATTTATTTTTAAAATATAAGAGTTTTTTTTATAATTGAATTGAAGAGTGAATGCTTCCTAAAAGGGAACAGCAGGACGACTTAAAAGCATAATTTTGCCAAAATATTTATACATCAAATTAATAATTTCTCGTCTTTTGAGAGCTTTTCTTTCCCTTTTTAATTTCGATTTATTTTTTTATTTTTTTAAAAACTACTTTTTTGAAAAACAATGTTCCAATTAATGTGAACATTTAGAAAAAAAAGTTTCCTTTACCACACTTATTAATTAAACTCAGTAAAATAACATAAACAATAATATTAATAATTGAATTTGGATTTAATTAAAAATTGTGGGACAAAATTATATACATATATATATATATATCATTAATTTAATTTGAATGGTTTTCTAAGAAACCCATTCAACTTCTTGTTATTTTTAAGTAAATATTGATGGGTCCATTTAATATTCTCATGATTCCCTTTTTTTTTTTATTATACATTTTTTTTTGTTATTATCCTTTTAAAAATATAATAAAATTATAATATTAGCTCCAAGCCAAATAATCATCGACACAATCAAGACATTTAATTATTTAAAACTTAGGTCATGAAAAGAGGCTCATCACATATTTAAATCCTATTTGAATAATTAATATCTTATCCAATTTAGAAATCATTTTCATATTTTTTTCCAATTATTTTCAAATAAGTGACTTAGTTGAATAGTTATTATCCTTGACTTTAGGTTCAATTGGATTAGAGTTTGATTATAGAGTATCGTCAATTAAAAATCATCTTTTGAAAAAAAAAAGTCGATTAAAATTTAATTTTGTTGAATGTGACTTTTTTCCGTACAAAATTGGATTAAAAACTTTAATATTTCAAATATCGGGTAATTTTAACTTATTTAAAGAATTAAAATTTGCGGTTGAATTTCAATATATATTTTGAAAAAATTGCATTCTACAGACTTAAAATTTTATTTCTTAGAGAGGTTTTTTAGGGTTCAGATAAGGATTCAAAATTTGAATTCGACATCCTGATATTCTCTTGCATCTCCTACGACATGGTCATGTTACTTACTCTTTTCCTTTTAAGAGTGGGGACTATCCCCATAGACTAACACGAGCCTTTCTAGAATGTTTTATCCTCGCATGTATTTTAGAAATATTTCACTTTTTCGTTAAAATGAAGAATATTAGTTTATTAAAAATAAAAAAACCACTAATGGTTTTAATAAATTTGGATTTTTCTTTAACACTAGTTTGAAAAGCTTGGTTTTTATAGCTTATTTTTAGATGGTAATAAATCAATTAATGAAAACTAAGTTCATTTATTGAAAGATTCAATAAATAATAATATATTATCCTTTACATTATTTGATTTTTAAAAAAAAATAATGAATGTCTTATTTTCAATATGACCTATTTATCATTATCAATAAATAAATTAATCTATCAATAATTCAATTGATAGTAAATAAAAATTAAATGATAATAATGAGTGTAATAGAGACCCTTTTGAATTATAATATTGCAATATTAATTAAAACTTAATTGACTTGAAAATAGTTTATGCATAGCTATTTTAATATTTAAATAATATTTAATCCGTGACAACGACTTATCATTTTACACTTAACACGAATGAGTCGTTATTAAAAAAATAAAATATTTAATAAAATTATTATCTCGAATCTCTCCAAATAAAAAAATAAAAAATTATTTTAATTTCTTGAAGTAATTTAAAAATTGACAGTCCAATAAAACAAAAATATTTGCCTAATGTAAAAATGATAATCATCTTATAAGGAAACTAGGTTTCAAAAATGGATAAGCCAGATCAGACATGACATTGCATTGGTTTCTCCATAGTTCCTTCCTTTATTTTCTATACCCGACTTGAACTTGCCAAAGATTGATTCGGCTCTTCTTGTTCTTAGTGTTCTTAGTCATCAATAACTTTACTACAGATGAATTGTGAGATTTGGAGAGGAAAATGAATCACTTCTTATAAAAACATGAAAATCTCTCCTTAATGGATGCGTTTTAAAATTATGAGGCTGACGGTGATATGTAACGGACTAAAGTGGACAATATTTGCTAGTGGTGGACTTGAGCTGTTACAAATGGTATAAGAGTTAGACACCGAGCGGTATGCCAACGAGGACATTGAACTCTTTAGAGGGGTGGATTGTAAGATCCCACATCGGTTGGAGAGGAGAATGAAATATTTCTTATAAGAGTATGGAAACCTCTCATTAACAGACGCGTTTTAAAACTGTGAGGTTGATGACAATACGTAATGGGTCAAAGCGAACGATATCTGTATGCAATGGGATTTGGCTGTTACAAATGGTATTAGAGTATGATATCCGTATGCAATGGGATTTGGCTGTTACAAATGGTATTAGAGTCAGACATTGAACTGTGGGAGCATGGATTGTGAGATCCCACGTTAGTTAGAGTAGAGTATGATATCCGTATGCAATGGGATTTGGCTGTTACAAATGGTATTAGAGTCAGACATTGAACTGTGGGAGCATGGATTGTGAGATCCCACGTTAGTTAGAGAGGGGAACGAAATATTTTTGATAAGGGTGTGGAAACCTCTCCCTAATAGACGCGTTTTAAAACCGTGAAATTGACAACGATACGTAACGAACCAAAACGGACAATATCTAGTAGGTATGAGCTGTAACATAGATACATGCGGACCAATTAGTTCGACAACTCCAAACTTAAATGCCTACATATCATTCTAGAATAGCGAGAATTCTAACCTTGTGTCAAGACCTACGGATCAAGAGTGAGTCCAAATTGTTGCGATTTGTTAGGGGAAGGTGAACATTAAACAGATAGGTAGGGTAACGCCCAAACTTGGCTATCTCCAGAATTCCATTGGAGGTTCCAACTGAACACATTTTACACAAGAAATTTGAAGAACTCTGCAGAAATCGAGGAAGCCCAATAAGCTCTGTTTGTACATTTATGGGCTTTAGGAGCTTGCTCAAATCACCTTCCAAAACCCTTTCCAATTGCACAAATTATTTATTTAGGATCTCACCTTCGCCATCGCCACGTTACATCTCTCGATCTAACTTTAAAATATGACAATATCTGCTTGCAGTAAAGCTTAACATAATTAGATGAATATTCGAGGCCTGGGTGAATAAAAAGAAATCCTCCCGTTTGTATTTTTGGAGGGAATATTCTTATATAAAATTTTCGATACACCTAATCAACAAATAATAGGAGCGTAGTCAACTTCTCCAAATTTGGACCCCAACTGTATCTCCACGTGTCAACTCCACTGTCCCCCAAAATTCCTTAAATCGCTACTGCATACTCCACGTCATGACTGCATTCACAGTCGACATCATCCACGTCACCCACCAGCTCTTAAATTTTCCGACCGATGCAACTTTAAATTACAATTTTGACCCTCTGTAAAGTTTCAAGTGTCTCATTCAAAACATAATTTGAATGGTAAATTAAATGGCAAGATTAATTTTATAAACTAATTAAAATAAAAAGAAAAAACTTGTCCCTCGCATTATCTCCAAACTGACCCCTCAACACGGATTACAAAAATAGCAAAAACGTTAATCATGGTAAAAAAATAAGAAGGGCATTTTGGGGAATAAAAGAAAAAGAAAACTCCTAAATTTTTATGGAAACGGAAATTCCCAACGAACGCGAAAATGGAGCCTATAAAAATCCTTTTCCCTAAATTGGAACGAAACGTCAGTCGGTAATCTCCGTTTCGATTACCGATATTTCACAATGGAGTCCGGTGGTCCGCCCACCCCTCCGCCGCTCCCGCCGCTGCCCACCGGCGCCATCCTTCTCGGCAAATATCAGTTAGGTCGTTTTCTCGGCCGTGGAAGCTTCGCTAAGGTGTACCAGGCTCGTTCCCTCGCCGATGACTCCATCGTCGCCATTAAAATCATCGACAAGAACAAAACCATCGATGCCGCCATGGAGCCTTGCATTATCCGTGAGATCGCCGCGATGCGCCGCCTTCAGCACCATCCAAACATCCTCAAAATCCACGAAGTCATGGCGACAAAGACGAAGATCTATCTCGTCGTCGATTACGCCTCCGGTGGTGAACTCTTCGCGAAACTCCTCCGCCGTGGTAGGTTAACGGAATCCTCCGCCCGCCGCTACTTTCAACAACTCGTCTCTGCTCTGCATTTCTGTCACCAAAACGCCGTCGCTCATCGCGACATCAAACCCCAAAATCTCCTCCTCGACGAATACGGTAACCTAAAGGTCTCCGACTTCGGTCTCTCAGCGTTACCAGAACAAATCAAAGACGGAATGCTCCACACAGCGTGCGGAACCCCTGCTTACGCAGCGCCAGAGGTAGTCACCAGGAGAGGCTACGACGGCGCAAAAGCCGACGCGTGGTCATGCGGCGTTATCCTCTTCGTCTTACTCTCCGGACACCTCCCATTCACCGACAACAATCTCGTCGCCATGTACAGTAAAGTTTACCGCCGGGAGTATCAATTTCCCGATTCGATTTCTAAGCCGGCTCGGCATTTGATTTTCCAACTTCTGGATCCAAATCCGAACACGAGGATGAGCATCGAGGCGTTGATGCAGCATTCGTGGTACAAGAAATCGGTGCGATCGAAGCCCCAAATCAGCAACAGAAGCTTGTTCGAATCGTTGGGTAATTACAAATCTGAATTGGGGGTTTCTGGATTAAATGCTTTTGATATAATTTCAATGTCATCTGGTTTGGATCTGTCGGGGCTGTTTGAGACAACGGATGATTGTAAGAAGAAGAGATTCACGACGGCGGTGAGCGTGGAAAAGGTGGAGGAGAGAGTAACAGAGATCGGTGGGGAATTGGGGTACAGAGTGGAGAAAGGGAAGAGCGGAGCAATTGGGTTAGGGAAAGGGAGGATGATTTTGGTGGTGGAGGTTTTGGAAATCACCGCTAATCTCTTAATTGTTGAAGTCAAGGTAGCTGAATCCAAAGCTGAGTTTGAGAGGATGCATTGGGGGGATTTGAAAGCCAAGTTGCAGGACATTGTTGTTTCTTGGCATACCAATGAGGAGGCCATATGATTCACAAGCTAGGCTTCTTTTCGGGTGCGGGTGCTCGGAAGGTAGTCGAGCCGGGGCCGGGCCTCGGCTCGGGCTCCATCTTGGCACTGGTCAGGGGTATTGTTGAAGGTGTTTATATGCAAATTGGACTTAGAAGAAAGAGCTTAATTGAGGGGATGTTTGTGGTGTATTGTTAGAAATGGTATGGTGTTTAATCTTGTGAAAGTTGATTTCAGAAACTGAAATGAACTGAGAAAGGAAAAAGATTTCACCCATGCTTCATTAATGGAAACATTCAATAACTATTTAATAAACTAGATCATCTTGATTTAATTTTTTTATAAAAGACATGATGTTGATGAAGGGGAGAGTCTTAAATTAAAAAAAAAAAAATGTAAATTGTGGTGTACCGTACTATGACTGAAATACTCGGATAAAATTGTTATTTAAAATTATCTACTTTCTACAATATTTGAACAACTCAATATCAATATTATTACTTTGATAAAACTCTTATTTAAAATAATAATAAAAAATTATGGATGGAGAGTTAAAAAAAAAAAAAAACGTTTTCCAACAGAAAATTTTAATTTAAAAAAAAAAATAATATATTTAAAAATAACATAAAATACAACCTATTAAATTTTGAAGTATTTTTAGTTTTTTTTTTTAATTTAAAAGAGGAATTGTATGAAATAAAAAATAATAAAATTTTATTCTGTTCCAACCTGAAATTTTGTCCAATAAACTTCAAATTCGAATCAAATATATTCAATAATTGAGTTTCTATTTACATCTTTTACAAAAGACAATAAGAAAGATCAAAATTGTTATTTTTTTTCTTTTCTTTTTACAACCGAAATGCTAAACTCAATATTTCAGAACAAAAGTAGGATTTGCATTGGAATTTAATAAAAAAAATAAAAAAGGGGAATTTAAATAATGTTAAATTTGCCAATGAAAATGGGATTTTAGAAATTTAACAGAATTGCCGGGAGCAATCTGTCCCACATCGGTTAAACTTCGAAGCAAGAGCAGGAGACTGGCTATAAAACAGGCCTGCATACTTCCTTCTAAACCATACCTTTCTCGGCCTTTTGGCTAAGATCAAGTGTAGTATCTGTTCTTATCAGTTTAATATCTGATACGTGGGCCATCGGCCCACATGATATTAAATTAATTTTTCAAGGGGGAGAGCCCACCACAGTAGCTTGCTATTGGGGCTCCCGAGCATCGCCCATTCGTTGCACTACAGCGTGGGCCAGGCGCACCCCTCCTATATTCAGTTAATAAAGCTTTTCAGTTTTATGTAATTACAACACTCCATAAAGAGGCTTCGGGAATGTATATAGTAATAAAAGTATATGTTAATTACAATTTGATTTCATCAGCTAATTTATCTTACAAAACTTAAAAACAAAAAGAAAAAATGAAGAAAAATTCATCCATATCGTTCTGTAAATTAAAAAAAAAAAGGTGTTAATTTCTCAGTCCCCCAACTTCTGATCCTTTCATGATTCTCATCCTCTTGCACGACGAAATAAACATCCTGCATTTAATTCATCACCAAATCAAATAAGCTCATGAATTTAATTAAAATACAGATTTGGAATTTCAGGGAATTATTAGAAAAACTCACCGCCATGGAACATCGCCCACCAGCATCCAATCTCCGTCTTTATCTTCGTAAGTTGGGGCATAATCCGATCCCCGGTAACCTTCGCTTTCACAGTATGCCCCGATTCTGATCTTGAACATCTCCTCTAAACCCTTGAGAAGTTCAGGGTACCCCTTGTAGAGACCCACATCGATCTTCCTCAAATAAGGAGCTCCATCCATACTCACTTTCACATAAATCCCTCCGCCCTCCGCCGCCGTGGTTGACTCTGTTTTCTTTGGCAGCAGAGTATTTTTCCTAAAGGATCTAATCGGCGGCCACCCAACAACCTGAGACCTACAAAACCCAAATTGAGAATCAAAACAGAGCCCCAAAAACCATAACGAGAGTCATAATCGAAAACGGCACATACTTGGGTGGAGGAGCAGAGTCGTTCTGTAAATTTCTCTTGTTAGTTCGAACCCCAGAAGAGTTGTCTGCAGAGCCGTCGCTTTCGGCGGCGGTTCCTGGTAGGCCGAGGCGGAGCTCGGTGGCTCCGAGATTGAGATCGGAGGGCTTGGAATCCATTTCTTTTTTTTTTTTTTTTTTTTTGTTTGGGAGAGAAGAAAAGGGTTGTTTTATCGATAAGATGAAGAAGGAGATGAGGATGGGAATTTGTCGGCGGGAATGGGAGCGACAGCGGCAAAGGAGGGACAGAGGAGGGGACAGGAAGAGCAGTGAAAATGGACGGTTGAGATGCGTTTACGTGGCTGTGGGAAACCCAATCGGGAGCGTTGGATATTAAGGTACAAGCATTGCCATGTGATGTGGGGCCCCATAGCCTTTACAATTATATAAATTTAAACATTTTATATATTTATATATTTATACAATTTTCTCAAAATAGTAAAACAACACAATTAAATTATATTCTTTCTAGAAGAAGTTAATTTATAATTACATGGAAAAAAAAAAAAAACAAAATCCAGTTGACTAAGTCAAAGTCGTCTCTAGTTGACCAACTTGAGTTACGCCTAAAAAATTGGGGAAGATATTAAAATAAAAAAAAAAGGTTTAAAACCGTCCTTAAATTTTATTATATATAAATATTAGTTTTTAAAATTTAATAATTTAATAATTTATATTTTGTTTCTTGTTCTCTATTTGGTCGTGGGTTGGTTGAGTCCCACGGTGTGTAGTGGTTGGTTCGTAAATCAAAATCAATAGAATGTACCAAGACCCACGAACCAAAGGACCCATCCTCCCCCACCGACCTCGTGCGCGTCTTCTAACTCATTAATGCTTTCAAATCTCGGCCCTTATTATTATTTTAATTTTATAATAATATAATATTGTTTACTTTAAAATATGGTTCTGTTATTCTCTGACATAGAGTGACATAAGATTGTTTAAAGTAAAGTATGTTTAATCCTGAAGTTTCTATGATTGAGCCACCAAAATAAAAAGTGCACTTTGTTTGTACCAACAGTAATTTTCAATTATTTTAAATTTTTCTTAACTGTTCTATATTCGGGATCACTCTCATTCGAATATGGTGTTGGTTCATTTATGAACAACTCATTTATAGGGGTGTCATCACATATTTTATATATTTTTTAAATTACAAATATAATTTGAGAAAAAAAAAACAATTTGAAAAAGTGAAAGAAAGAGAAATGTAAAGAACTTTTGATGAATGGACAAAACATATGAAAAGGAGTAGTTTTTATGGTGATAGTCTTTTTAGGCATGATTAAAATTTGAAAGAACACAACCTTTTTGACTAAACAACTAATTATTTATTAATTTCAACTTTTTAAATTAAGTGACAAAAAATAGGAAAAGAAAATTTTTGCCGACTTAAATTATTTTAAATTAAGAAAAATTTAAATTTTGAAGGAAAAGAAATATGACATCATTATTGTGTTAGGTTAATGAGCTATCTACCCATTAATTAAAAGAAAAAAAATATTTTTTTTATGTGAAACAATCGTGGAACAACCGACATTAGTGAGCTATTATTGTCCTAAATCTTTAATGGTGAGTACATAGGGCGGTGCCTAACTCTTTTATCTCTATAAAGCCACTAAATCATATTTCTATTTCTAGAAGGCACACGAGTCTATATGCTATAATGTTATACTACATATAAACATTCTATAATCAACCGATTATAAAAACAGTTTTTTATGTTATATTGATAAAATTGAACCTAACTATAATATCTCAGACTAATCAAAAGAGGGTAAGAGAGTCAAATTGAATGAACATAACCGAAAATGGAGCCCCTAGCTTCGTACCCAATTGACCACACCCTAGAGTCTATATGGGTCGTGGGGAAATAATACGTACCTTGGGCCAAAAACTCAAGAGATTGATTAAGATACCTATGACTGTCTTGACAAATTATCAAACCCTTAGGCCAAAAGGAAGACCAACCCAACCCTAATCCTAGGTTGTCAAGTAGAAATGGATAATTATGCTTTAGAGTTAAAAGTCGAAAATGAATTATCTTACTCCAACATCTCTAATTCAAAAGATCAAAACGGGTATGACAGTTTTCACTATTTTACAAGTTACGTATGTGTCTCGCTCAACAAATTTACTGCCTTTATCTATATTTGCACACCAACCATTTCCGAAGTGATATCAAACTTATCCCGAATGTCAAATACACAAATAATTTCCAAATAATTTAACTCATCTCGTTGCCAGTTTCTTACAAAAAAATCAATGCCAAAACTTTGGGTACCTGCACATATGACGACATTCCACCCATCAAAATTAATATCAACAATAAAAGAAAGAACAAACAGCTGTTCTTATAAATGAAATAAGCTAAGGAAGTGAAAAGAACACGACATAGAGACAAAAAAAAAAAAATAAGTGGGAAACTTTGTCTTGGGTGCATTAAAATCCATTAAATTGTTGTAGTGTCTTATAACTTTGTAACTTGAAAACAAATATCTTTCCATTATGGTTCTGAGCATTGCATCCACACGATTCAACCTCTAATTTTGGACCATCCCCCTATGTTCCATTATCACCTATGCATTGAACTATATGCACAATCTCTTTCGTTTTATAACCCTTTCCTTTTCTATCTCTCACCCAAACATTATATTACTTCTTCTACCATTAATGTATTGTCTCAAACCCTAATCTTTCTCCTACCATATTCATTCCTCGCCGTTCTAACTCATAAATAATTCACAAATCTCGTCACTCAACTCATATTGACTGTTTGTGTTAAAAATATAGGTTTAGTCCTGAGCTTTCCTGTTTGTGGCTAGTACACCTCGTCTCCTAAAATATATCTAATAAGTATTTGAACTTTTAACTTTGTGTCTAATAAGCCAGTGAGATCCCACCTCAGTTAGAGGGGAACAAAACATTCCTATAAGGGTGTGGAAATCTCTCCATAACAGAACATTTTAAAACCTCGAGGGAAAATCTGGAAGAGAAAACCCAACGAGGATAATATTTGTTAGCAGTAGGCTTGAGTTGTTACAAATGATATTAGAGTTAGACATTGGGCGGTGTGCTAATGAAGATGCTGGGTTCCTAAGGAGATGGGTTGTAAGATCCCACGTTGGTTGGAGAAAAAAATGAAACATTTTTAAAAGGGTGTGAAAACATCTCCTTGGTGGAGAGAGAAACGAAATATTGACGTGAAAATTTTTCTCTAATTGACGCGTTTTATTAAAACC